CCAGAGTGGAGTGTAAGTTTTTGAACTCTTTTCCTGGGTGATTTTTGATTATCAGTACTGGTGAGGATCACCAAAAAAAAAAAAAATCAAATATGAGTAATAAGAATTCTGTGTCTGCAGAGTGTTTATAGTGAGAAGGGTTGTAATTTCTGTTAGTTAAGACCAACAGTCAGCTAGCTGTTTACCGTGGATTCAATTTATGTAGAGTTGAACTCATTAAGTGCCAGTAGATAATGTTCGTACATCCATCTGAAAGATGGGAAGACAGACATACCTCGTGTAAAACTTATTTTCCCAGTGGCAATTACTTCGACATTTTGTAACCGGCTTTTTCAGTTGAGCTGTACATGCCCCCTCCAATCAGTTGTACATGCCCCCTCCCATCAGTTGTCCATCAAAAGCCATGTGATGTTTTGTGATAGCTAACCTCTGTGTGTGAATGTCTAATTCATTTTATGCAGAATGAATATGCTGAGTGTTTTAGAGGGGATCTAATGAACTTTTCATTGAAGGAGAAAGCTCAGATTTTAGACTTTAGACAGAGGCTTAATGTCTGGAACTTTGTTCATAGCTAGGCAGTATGAGAAAATCCAATGTGATGCTATTTTTCTCATCTGTAAGTTAGAGAAGTTTGCAGACAAGCAGTCTAAATAACAGCATGAGAAGGTGGTTCATGAATTGAAACCTCATCTTCAATGCTTAGTTGCCTATTTCAACAATGTTTTATAGCACATGAAGCTATGTTCAAAAAGACATTTAGGGTTACCTGCAGTTAGTATACTGCCAAAGAATTCTGGCAAAAATCTGCTAAATGCTATATCTACTAAATCTGATCCTGTATACCAGTAACAGAAATCTCATTGTGTCGCATGCTGAACGGGACTAAGGGAGGATAAGAACTGACAAGTATCTCTGTTCTGCATCCTTGCAATGTAGCTAGGAGTTATTCCAGTTTCACAGGTATAAAACTGAAGCACGAATATGAAGATGCTGAATTTACTTCTTAGATATGTGCCGAGCTTTAAGAATATAAACATCTACAAAGGCCTTCATGTTTATGTGCTTAGGTATCTAGTGAGTCTAGGTAATTAATGCATGAGTCAAAACTCCGGGCTGATTTCAGGAGATGGTATCAAGCCCTGAATGAATTTCCATAGTAGGAGGAACTCTGCAGTACAAACTATTTGTCTGGTGTCCATCTGCTGTCCATGGCTATGTCTGCCGCCTTACTATGACCAAAAAATCGCAGCTACAGATTTTCTGTCCCATGTGATTAAGGATCCAGCAGCTGGTACCTCTGTTTTGCATATCATGAAAGATGGATTCACTCAGAAAGCTGAGCACTGCAGATGTTTAATTTATACATTTGGATTGAAGTGACCGCTAAATTACTTTTTGAAAAGAAAAATAAAAGGGTATTTTGAAAAACAGTGCAAATTGTGCAAAATAAAAAAGTAAGACTTTGTACCTGACAAGTAGCATCTCTAAAAACTGTCCTCCTGGCTATTTTTCAGTCAGATACCTCATCAACTGTTTGTCATTAAAAGTGGAATTGGCATTGTTTCCCTGAAAACCATTTTTAAAAAATCCAACTTTTATTGATTTCATATTTCAGTTTCTTAAAAGAATGCAATATTGCAGCATTGTTATATTTTTGTAAAATTAGAAGAATTGTATTCTAAGAAAATGTTCATAGTTCATGTTGCAAGTTATTTTCTTGTAGTTGGATATGTTGTAAGAAGAACATAGAATCATGCTGAATCTAATGTACTAATTACCTTGGGGGTATTTATCTGCAGGAAGTGAAGCCTAAAAGACTGACTAAGTAGATCTTTAATTTTTCTAGTTTAATTGCATTCAGTTAAAAGTTGCATTTGGTTTACTTTTGTTTTGTAAAATTCTTCTTACAGTTGTTTTTTGGGGGGCGTATCATGCTTTCCTGTCTTTTAAAATGACTAACTGAAATGCAGGACTCTTTTTTTTTTTTTTTCTTTTTTTTTTTTTTTAAAGAAAAAAAAAACATTTTGCTTTTTAGAAGAAGAGAACCATGAGAAGTAAGGCATTGAATGATCAATAAGGAGAAAACGATGCATATTTCTGGCCATCTACTAATGTTTTCCAGTAAAATTAATCTTCAGAATTAGATTGGCTATAACAAAATTATAAGCAACGCTCAAAATAAATTGGGTACACTGGTATGTCATACCAGCCATTTAAAAAAATAGCCTAGCACTTCTCAGAAGCTGTAATTGGTATGTTGGTGGTGGTGAGGGAAGGTAACACTTGCAAAACAGAACCTGAGAACCTTCTCGGATGCAGCACTGAAAACGTTAAAAGTTAAACTGCCCTCTTCTGTTTGTGTTCTGGAGTTTGCAGTATAAGGAATGAATACTATGGCAACTTTGATACCTGTTCAGTTTGAATGTCTTACAGTTCTGTGTCAAATTCAGCAATATGAAAGATAAATGTAGAGGTGTTAACAGAGAAATTGTGTTGTAGTTTTAAAGGGGTTAGCCACCTTAAAAATTCTATAGAATAAGTTACAGGCTTGATTAGCTAAGGACAGACAGCTCAAGGAAAACAGAGGGGGTTTTATAATTACTATTTTGAAAGAAGACCTGTTTATCTTATGTGATCTTCCTATACTGATTCTTTCAGCACATTCAAAGGAAGTAAACAAAATGATTATTCCTGAAATCAACTTTTCATAGATTTCTGCAGCACCGCTTGACTGCCTCCGTGATTTGATCTGTTTAGGTTACTTTTCATCCTGTTTAAGTGATAATATCCTGCGATTTAAGTGTAAAATGGGGAATGAAGCATTTTTTGTAAGTGCAGTTTGGCAGAGACCACATATCTTCTGGAAACCTGTCTACCATTGTTGCAGTAATACTTAATATTGCAAGTATTACATTATATGTGTTTGGATTCCTTTGGTATAGATACTCGGTTGCTCATACCCTATTTATGTCTACTGCCATTACAAAATACTGTTTGGCAATATTTCAGATTTACCTTTATCAACAGTTAGAACAACATTTTGTAGTAGGAACAGTTTAATTACCTCTAATTGAAGGAAGATGTGTAGTATTGCAGGTTTTTTCATCTTTTTGCAAACTTGATTCAGGAAAGTGACATGTTTTGTTTGAATACTTCTGCTGTGCTTGTATGATGTTTTCTCTTTGTGAGAAATACACCCTACCTGAGTATTGGGTTTTGTCATACTTGTACAATGCTGATCTGCAAGATATGATGACCTGAAACAGTTAACTAACATTAAAGATATTTAAAAACTATATATAAAACAGATTGAAATAAAGTGCTCAGAGATTATTTATAAAACGTAGAACATCACCCACAATGCGTCTGTCACAGATGGAAAAAATGAATATATTGACAAGTGCGTAGTCCATTGAATAAGTTTATAAACCTAAAATCCTACCCAGGATTGCCAGAAATTAACAGTTTGTCTCCAGTACTGGATATGAATTAGCTTAAACAGAAGCATAAGTCCCATTAGGCAGACAGTTCTTTATTGCCTGCGTATCAGAAGAAAGTAATTTATTTTTCTGAGAAGGTGACTGGGATATTTGTTCCTGAAAGATTAACCAGACAGCACAGTGCAGTTCTAACGTGTATTTGGTAGGGATAAATATATACCACATTTTCGTTTCCTTCCAGAATGAATGTGCTAGAGAAACTCACTATATATGATCAGATTTCAGAAAAGCCAGTGCTTGGTTTGCACTCTGCTTCCAGACTCTTAAGTGTACAGGTTATTTCATGTCTTGATGATATTGTGCATGTTTAGACTGGCTGTTTTCATTAAGTCATAAGAAATAACACAGACTAAAGTGATCTTCTGTGTGCTCAGAGAGGTACCTACACAGATACCTACCTAGATTCTCAAAGGAAATGGAACGGCTGTATTTCAGAAGAGGATTTTATTCTTGTACTAGCTCATAAAAGTACTGGCATGTGACTAAACATAGGAGTGTTTTGCATGTTCACTGAAGAACATGCTTGTATTCTATAATACCAGGGAAGGACAATGATTCTAACTTGTACTTGTCACCTGTTGTGGCCCCAAATGTGTTGGCCACATCCCATAGGTAAATCTTCTCATACTAGCAGAATATGTGTTGCCTGCCTAATCAGCCTCTGTAATGTTTCTCATTTTGTAGTAGAAGTTATTGGTGTAGTATTCAAGCCAAGATTTAGCCTTCCATATGAATGTAGCATCTTCACACTTCACCGTTCTTCCAAGCAGTACAAATGCCATACTCTTTCCATAGTGAATACAGGGCAAATTAAATTTTGCAAACCACCACCATTGTTTCGACCATGTGCATGTACATAAATTGGTCTGTTCAGACAAATGGAGTTGGGAAGTCATGATGTAGTATATAGTAACTTTTTTGTGCTGTAGCCTCGTATATTATTTTGTAAGAGGATATAAGTAGTCAACATACGCAGCAATTTTAATATTATGATTTGTGTTAACAAGAAAGGTAATGTAGTGCCTGAGAGCAAGAGGTGAAAAAGAAATTAACGGTAGTAGACAGCAGTTTTTCATAATGATTTTTGTTTTGGGGGCATAGAATACAAATTGGACAGAACTTAATTGCTAAAGCTGGTTAAGTATAAAATTAATTTTAATATGGCTTCAGTGAAACTGTAGCTTTGGTATAGTTGAGAAGCAATTTAACAGAACCAGTGTTTACTTAGGTTATGGTTTCAAGTTTATAATCACATTTTATTAAAGTTCTTTGATACTACACCTCCTAAGAATGCCTCCTTAAATTGAAATGCTGATGTTAAGGGAAGATGATTATTTTACTGATGCTGCATTATGGAATATAAATGGGTAACTGCTGATTGTTAAGTATTGTGTGTGTGTGTTTAAAAATGTACAATGTCTCTTTTAAACATAGTACAAGAAATACACAGAGAAAAACATTGTGAGTAATAAGTGTTTTGTCCCATCTACCTTTTGACAGGAGAATTAGATGACAGAGAACAGGCAAAGCTGGAAGTAAAAGTATGGGATCCAGATAGCCCCCTTACTGACCGTCAGATTGACCAGTTTTTAGTTGTAGCACGGTAAGATTAAAATCCTCTAATAAAAAAAATTCCTTTTCCTTTTCCTACTGACTATTTATTCCCCTATATCGTGTTACTCAACTTGTTTGCCATTTTGTGAGCCCTTCTCTTTCCCACAGTTAGCTAAAAGAGCAAATCAGACCATAATCTTCTGCATATTTATTGAAGCTACCAATACAGAAGAGAGAAAAAGAGAGTGAGTTTTGGAATAATGCTACACTGCCTGTATTTCAGGTTATAGTAGAATTTGATAATTTAAATGTAGACATCAGTCTGTTTTCCCTTCAGAGTAAATGAAACAGGATTTCAGTGCTAATATTTCAGTCTTACGCTGTAGTACTTGGAATTTCGTAGTGAAATACGAAGTTAAGAGTAGAAATAAAGAAAACGTTAACAAATGAAGTGGATGCAGAACTTGCCCAATTTGCGTATAAGCTGAATAATATGCAGTGCAGTTATTTTGGATGAATGTTGAAATAAAAGTTTTGAAGTGATGCATTTCATTAGTGAAAAAAATCTGGTCAGTTCAATTTTATAAATTATGAGAGGAACATCAAAGCCCTTGGAATTCATAAATACCTTTAAAAATAATTTCTCTATTTTAAAAAAAAAAAACTTTGAAAACTCTATAGACCTCTTACTGAAGGACAGCTCTACACTCTTAAGGTACAGCATGTTTTGCCTGTCCTGTAATTCATACTTAAAAATACAGTGCAAAAGTACTGTTCTAATGATGGCAGAGAACTGTTAATCACAACTCATGTAGGGATTTTATCCTGGATCACTCCATCTCCTGTGTTTTCTGTAACCCAGTTGCAGAGCATAGTCTCAAATCTTAGGCAAATAATCCTTTTATGTTGTTTCTGGTTTATTTTCTTTATTCTTTCTACCTTTTGAACAAAGCGTTTCAGGAAGGAAATAAAGAGAGAGAGGTTGCTTCATATTTTCCAGTTTGTGTATGGTGAAATGGGTTGCTGATTTATTGTTTTACAGTCCAGATGCTGATCCACCTGGGTTTCTTATTTCTCCCCCACTTGTAGTGCTGTATCCTTTCTATACAGTAGCAAAAATTGCCTGCCCCTGTTGAATTTCCAAGCAAGTCAGAGGATTATAGGTGTGAACACGTATCAGTTCAGAAGATCACAATGCCTGGTAGATGCTCCATAGAATAGAATCCTGAAAACAGAACTACTTCTATCACCAGCAGTATAATACCTGGATATGGATGGGCAGACCATTATGGGGTGCCTTAAAAATACAATCTCTGTGAAGATTGTGTGCGTTTTTGAGGAGTTCATTCATTGCCTTCACATCCCTCCACTCCCCACTTTGCAGCCACTCTGGGGAGCTGAAGTAGTATACTGTGAAGCTGAAAATGTTCCCAGAGGAGCATACCAGTAAGCAGTCTACCACGAAGTGACAGAGAATAAATGAAATTTTTACAGAAAAACATTCTTCTCTCTTTGTCCCCTTATTTAAGACATCTTGTGCAATGCTGTGCCCTAACCAAGATTGCATTTGTTTAGAGTTGGTAAATTTCTGTTAAAAAGGTTTCTGTTATGGTGGGAATGGGTCTTGGTCATAGCTGAGTAATTGTAGCTATCCAAGATCTTGTGGTAGGCAATCACTAATGACCATCTGTAACCAGATGTTACTCAGGTACCACTTCATTGATGTTCTTCCACAAAACTCCATTAATCTTTGTAAGTTGCTTTTGAACTGACAGAAACTATTTCCAAGCTCCCATATACTTGTATTCACAGGCTGCAAGATCACATTTCTGTTGCATTAAGTGCTTCCGAGACAGATTTTCACCAATTTCTGGAGAAACAGTTCTCCAATGATGGTTGTGGCAGCTTTAAATTTAGTATGTTGTGTGCTTGCATGTAAAGGCTTTCATTATACTGGACCATTAAAAGCTGCTTGAGTAACAGTGGAGTTGGTATTACGATCTGGTAAACTGTGCTTACAGATGCAGAAGGTATTTCTGCTGTGGCCAAACTGCAGTTCACTGGGCATTGGCTGTGCCTGCTGGCTTTCCAATGAGAATGGTATTTCTCTGGTTCATAGAAGTTATTTTTAGTTTTGCAAATTTGAAATTCTGACAATAAGAACTTTTTACTATATGCATTCCTATATGTGATTTTGGGTAAGTGTGTGTATGCTGTCTGTATTTGAAAAGCATTTCCACGTGATCCTTTTTACCTGCTGCATCAAAGGCATCGAGTATTTCTTCTCAGTTTTTTCAGTCTGCTCTGGTTGAAGGAAGGGTTGCTTTTGTGCTTATACGCTTTAGCTTTTTCAATCACACAAGCACGCTTTGTTGGTTCTTTAAAAGGTGTTTAAACACTCTCTTTTTCTATTTGTGTTGCCCATTTGCAAGAACATTTATATTTGGCCTCCGGCATGTAGCTTTCCCAGTCTTGCAAGGTTTGTTTACTGTCTCAGGAATGAGAGACCTTTTCTATAGGTTTATATGCTTGGTCAGTCTGGGCCTGTAACTGGGGCCTAGTATGCAGTCATCTGCTGGATATAAAGGTAGATGAATATGCCTATCCTGTCCAGAAATCAGAGGTAGCAGTGCCAGAAAAATCTATGGAGATTTTGAAAAAGCATAAAAGTACTTGGGCAGAAAGATCCTTAACCTTGAGCTCCCTAGGTAGTCTTGCTTGACTGTGGATTCACAAATCTTGAAAGTACCTTATTGCTAGTACTGAAGCATAATTTGGCCAAGGGCCCCTTGCTTGAACTAGCAAAAGCATCTGTTAGGAGAAGCTTGAGGCATCAAAATAATGTATTCTGGTTTTGAGTTGTTTTTTGGGTAACGCACTGTCATTGATACTCTGGCAATGAGAATTCCGCCACCATTTTCTACTCCATTCAAATAAGATACAGCTTTATCAACCAATTTTTGTTCTGTCATGTATATTGGCAACAGTTCTTCTGTGTCTACTAGCTTCAAAGAACAGGACTCTGAGAAGCTGCAACAAGAGTTTAGATCTGTCCCTGTTGGCAAATAGTGCAAGACTGCAGAACTGGATTTGTAGAATTGAAATGTTTGGTGCTGAGGACCTAGCATCCACACTATGCACATTCTGAGCAGTTTTATTTTTAGGCTAACTCTAACCTGATCCTGTGGACTAAATATCCATGAGTATGTGGAACTACTGTTTAGCTTAACAGCAAATCAGTTTGTATGCTACAAGATACCTTTTGATGTTGGTTAAAGTGCAGTAGATAAAGATGCCGGGGAAGGTTGCTTTGAAACTCCATTCCTAATTTGAACTAAAATGCTGATATAGATGCACCCTCTTTTCTGCAGTCATCAGTCCCTATCATTCCCAATATACAAGGAATACTTCATTTCCTTGTGAGATCTCATGTTCTCTTCCTAACTCTGTTCCAGGTTGTTACAATCCGATTTGGATGAGAGGAGGGTCCCCTTGCATTCTAACCGGCCTCAGGCGAGTCGGGGGGGCTAGGGGCGGCTAGACCGACCTCATTTCAGGTTCGATCCCTTTGAGCGAGATTAAGACACAAACGAGGTCAGATGTCGTAAGTCCACCCGTTTATTAACCAGAGAAGACAGAAAAATAGCGACAGAGAAGGAAGGAAAACAAGAGGGGAAAATTAAGCAAGAGTTCGGGATAGGAAAGCACAGTCACCACCATGGATCCGCGGCGGCCCGGGGATCCGTGCTTCTGGGGTCTTCGGTGGCGGGTGAATCACACCGAAGTCTTCGGTCGCGAGTGATCACACAGAGGTGTGGGGTGGGGGTGTTTTAGAGGCTGCGTGCCTGAGGCAACAACTTCACGCTTGCGCAGAA